CTAAAAAATGATGATTCTTATGCTCATTTTTATTGTGGGGTGTAAGGATATGAATGTTGAGAGAGAATATCTTTTATTTGAGTAGAGATTGAAAACCACAGGATGTGTATTGTCCTGTAGAATCCGAGCATAAGACCTTAATACATGTTGAAAATTAGGTTTTTACATGGGTAACAAGATATTAGAAGGTTGAGAATATATGATCTTTAAAATAAAAAAAATATATATCTATGTGAAATGACTGTAATGGTAAATAAATATCATAAAATACAAGTATTATGCATGAGAAAGAACATCACTTATAAATAATTTTAAAACATATAGAAGCATGACTAACCTGCAAAGAAAAATTTAAAGTTTGCTTTTGCCAAGTTTACAAAATGCATAATCAAATAACAATGAAGAAAACTCATTTGTGTTATTCAAATGGCCATGTTTTATAAGATGTGTCAGAATTACAAAGTTAGGATGACCTAATTTATAATGCAAAAATTAACTATTATTATTAGCAATAGCAATACAAACAATAAAAATTAAACAAGGAAAGGAAAAGGAATGAAGAGGGAAAAATCTCACTTTAGGCCCTCTTGCTGTCTCTTATACCGATATTTGATCCTACACACAATAACTAGAACAATCAAAATAAAATGAACTTTTTTTCTACTATTGTACACCTAGAATAAAATTGACAAATAAATCAAGAGACACAAACATATTAGTAAAGGATGACCTTGAATTGCCAACCACTATAATAAAAAGAGTATAAACATTGATGATTTGAATATGTTGCTTACCATCATACTTACAAACATCATGTAAAGTAGTCAGACTACCAGTCATATGATTGTAAGTCATCGAGTTAATTAACCGAAGAGAAGTTAGAAGATGTTTCTTAACTCGGAGACCAAGAAGACAAAGAGCAAAAATAATCATATATTGAACTTGCTTGGGAGTAATATTAGAATAAGAGATCAGAACAGTGGTATGTGTGAAAGATGTAGGCATAAAAGTGAATTGAACAACAATATAAGGGTGAACATGACAATCCCTAATAATATAACCTTTATTCTTGTAATAACTATAGAATTTCTTGGTGTTATATTTTGCAATGTGCCTAATTTCCTTGCAACTATAACACCATGGTGGAGATCTAGATCATCCTTTGCCTTGAGTAATGTAGGCCATATTAATCATCTTTAAACCACTAACAACTTGTGCAAGGCTAAATTATGAGGCAAGACATTGTTCTTCACACAAAATTTCACCTAGGAAAACCTCTTAAGATGGAACTTGGTGACTGATTAACTCATCTCGTACACTTTCAAACTTAAGTTAAAGCTTTATCAAGAATTGATCCTGCTAGCTCTCAAAGTAAACCACTTGTAGTGTTATTAAAGCTTCTCTAGAAACCTAAGAATACACCAACCTAGAATAATCATTTCATAAATTAATAAAGCGATAATAAAATTGCTCAATAAATATATTCCTCTAGCAAATGTTTTTTATGTATAATTCCAATTGAAATTTTTGGGTAGAATTATCTTAATAATAAATTTGTCGAAGGGAATCCCACATAGTTGTAGCAATAGTGATTTTATAGAGATTGTTAATCATATAGGGTTTAATAGAGCTAATGAGTTAGGAAATAATTTTGGCATCTTTTTCTTCCCATGAACTAAGTTTCTTAGGATTAGTAAGAGCCATATAAAACCTATCTAAATGACCCCATAACTCATTCCCTTTCACAAACTTTCAGAACCAAAATTCTCAAAGTAAGGCATACAATACACTTTTCTTTTGATATAATAACCATAAAAAAATTGAATGAAAAAAAAAAAACCACCACACAACCAAGAAACAAAGATATAACTAAGAACTTTATAACTAAAAACTAAACCTCCAAATCAAGAACCACTTCTTCCAATACCTAGAAAAATATTGAAGATATATTTTCTATTGCTACCTACAAAAAAGTACCACAAACAAAAAATCAAAAATCAAAAAATTCAACCAAGTTAAGAGAATACTATGAAGAGAATTCAAGACTTTAATACCATATCAATAAAGGTTTTGGTTTGAATACCTCTCGTTATGAGTTTTCCTTTTTATATATTGAAAATGTGGTCATCACAAGGTTAAAAATAAGTGATTACGTAGTACTATACAAGGTAAGAGTAAAGCTACCAATTATATTCCTATATATAACTAGATGAAATAAGGTATCACATATCAAGTCGTTGATTTTGCTCATAACTATAGATTTGATGAAAAATTTAAAGTTGAATCTAGTTATTATAGATGTCATTTGATGTTGCAAAGAATTAGGAAGCTTATTTATAAGCTAGAGTTTCTCAATGTTTATTGGGCAGAGCCAGCTTAAACTAATAACCATTTGGACAATAGTCAAATGCCCCTACTTAATAAAATACCTCAATAATAAGTAAGGTATATTTACAATTATGCTTTATGAAATGAAGATTATCCATACTTAATAAAAGCCTCAAGTATGAAAGAAGATTACTTAAGGCCATACTTGTCAGACATACATAAAAAAATAATAAGATATTTTATAAATATTTTATAAAAAATACAATACCTTAATTTATAGTTTTGTTCAAGATTCCAATAACCTTAAACTAGTTTTGTTGTCAGGTACATCTAATATTTCTTGTTTCTTAAGATGATAGTGTTGCTATCTCTCTGCTAGCATTGAAGGATGATAGTGAATTCAAGATATATCCAGAAGCAATTTTTAATCATGAGAAAATGAAGAAAGGTAATGTTGTTGTGGTCATTGGCTAGGACAGTAAACTACTTTATCCAAGGGTGACGCCACTTAGAAATAATTGTAGGAACAAGAGGAGGAATTTCCAGATTTCAACATATAACCTTGGAAGGGGTATGTCGAAAGGGTCATTAATAGAATCTTTAGTTTTATTTTTATGAATTCTTTGGTTAAAAAGTCTTGTTTTGATGAATTATTTACATGTGAATGAATTGCAAATAAATAATTATAGTTGTTGATTAGTAGTTGCTAGGCTACTCTATTTTATTTGTAGAAACTTAAAAAAGTGTTAGATAGAATGTAAACGAAGAGGTAAATTCATTGAAGAAATAATAAAAGTCATCTTAGTGTTATAACTAACAAGTCTCTCTCTATTTCTCTTTCTTTTTCTTTTTCCCATTCTTCCTTCTTCATTGTCACAAGTTATGCAATTAACATCTCTCCTAGAAAAGTAAAAATATATATCGTGATTCTAGGGATTTTTCATGAATACCACTAAGTATTACTCTAAAAGGCATGAGTTTTTTTATTATGCAAGACTCCACTATTCATCCTCTTATACATTATTGTGGATGAGGTATGCAAAATTTTATATTTTTCAACTTGATCCTCAAACTTTTTTTGGCGATTTATTCCTAATTAAAGACTAATTGATTTTGATAGTTTTACGAAAAGGTGAGATTGAAAGAAAAAGGACCAAAATGAAAAAGGCATCGAACGTGATTGACATGCCATAAGTTTCGCTAAAGATGCTTTTTGGTCATTAAACATTAAAAATCATGTAAATTATACAATTTTTGTATCTTAATATTTTTTTCAATTCAATTTTGGTATAAAATTTTATTTTTATTATTTTTTAGTCTCTGGTTAAGAGAGGAGAGAGAGACGTCACTGGATTCCGGTGGTAGAAATAGAAAAGTATCGTTGACATTGATTTAGGCCACAAAAACAGACGATATTTATGTCAAATGGTTCTATTTTATTTTTATTATATTACTTGTTTTTTCACCTTTAAAGTTCATGAAAAAACATATATGAGGTCTGGCTGATTTCTGGATTTAGTTTGGTTATGGTTTTTGGGGCGGTTTTTTGAGTTTTTGAGGTCATAGATAGGTTTATCATGGTTTCTATGATGCTTTATAAGTTTTTTAGGTCAAAATAGATTGAAAAATAGGTTTTTAGGTAAATGAAACTTAAGCCTTATACTTTGGCCACCACAATGGCTGGAATTTGGACAAATTAGATCATTCATCGTCTGATTTTTTTCAAAAAATTTAGGGCAGATGACATGTAAAGAAAAAATAAATTAAGGACCCAATCACGTCTTTTTCTATTTTATTTTATTTGATCAATTTAATTTGTATCTTTATTTTTATTATCATTTGCTAAAATAAAAAGATTATTTTAATAAATAAATCTAGCAAACATAACTGGGTAAATGTTCCATCTTTCGAGATTAAATATTTTAATTTACATCTATCTTTCAGTTTTTCAAGTTTTATTTTAGATATTGTTAATGACTTTTTATTCATTTATTTACACACATAGTTCTTGATTTATTTGATTATATGTATGAATATATTTTTTTATTTAAATTTAATTTTTTTATAGTTTTTTTATTAAAAAAAATAATAATACCTAACCTGCAATATAACACAAATCATATAACTAGTGTGATCTATTTTTCATTGTATAAAAGATATATTTTACAAATTGCATGAAATTGGAGTATTCCTTTCAGCATGAGAGACAAATTGCCATTCATGGAAGCGAGAAAATGCTTTTGAAGTTGTCAAAAAAAAAAACACTACGATGTCATTTTGAAATGACTTTTATTTAATTTTAGAATTTATGTTTAAAATTATTATTTTTTAATTTTTTATATCATTTTAATATATTGATTATATTGATGTAAAAAATAATTTTAAAAAATAAAAATATATTATTTTAATATATTTCTAAATAAAAAATAAAAAACAACAATTATCACATTCCCAAATATCATCAAACATCTACATGTAAAAGATGTCACAAGAAAATATATGACAAACAATCAAATTATGTGTTGTTATAAGCAAAAAAAATCATGAAACACTAGCAGAACCTACAGTTTTACCTTTTTTTATTCAAATAATGGATCCGTAAAATCTCTTCTTTTTTCTTTTTTTTATTTACAGCTACATGACTACAATCCTTTTCACCATCCGAGCTCTCCCGTGTGAAGAACTTATTTACAGCTGCATGGCTACAATCCTTTTCACCATCCGAGCTCTCCCTCCTCTCGAAGCTACAAACCTTAGGTCCCACTCCCTAATTTACCACACCAATGCAGCTGCTGGTGGATATTGACCTCAGAAGACAGCATATGCCGATTTCCACGTGTGGACACGCGCAGCTGCTGGTTGATGCCGACATCTGCTGACAGTACATGTCGGTTTTCACGTGTGGACACATCGAGATAACATATCAAGGAATACTAAAAACAATTTTTTAAAAAAGAAAAAAAATTAAAAAAGTACAGTCCAAATCAAGGGTCTTTTAACTGAAGGAGGGGGTCGAAGATTTTCCGAGCCCTGAAAGCTGATGAACGGATTTATAGACCATCATCAACTTAAATTGTGCTTGTCATAAGCTGAGTTCTTGTTCCGGAATTGGTCTTGTTGTGGTCACTACTCTCATCGGCATTTGATGTTCATCCTTTGGAGTCCCATCTGAAATTGATTCTGTGCCTGCATTGGTGCTCTTGAGCTGGGAACACTGGCAGGTAATTCGACCTTTGTTCCATCCAGAGAAAGAAGATGATGATGGCACAAAATCTTGCAGAAAAATATACAGCCTTCCCAATCGGAAAATCTTGAGCAACTGAGCTTTTCTCCAACATTCCCTCCCTGTCTGGCTCGTATGAAAAGAAAAACATCATCATACGGCAAAGTTTCTAACAATTCAATTGACAGGTCTATAAATTATTTGATACACTACGAAAAATCAAGTCCAAAAAATATGGTATAGACCAAAAAAAATTCATCCAAACCGGAAAATCAAAATCCCAAATAACATAGCACAGACTATCTATCACCTTGTAACTTTTCAACCTTTTCACTATATTTGTACAACTGTGACTTGGCAACTATAGTATCATCATCTCACTGATTGTTAATACCTATGACTACGACATGCAGTCTTCCTGCTGGCATAGGTTCACCATGAACGCATTCACTGGACCTACCTGCTGGCATAATTCAACTGTTAAGGTTCACCATGAACGCATTCACTGGACCTGATCTCAGACTGATCTCTCTAGAATCCAAACTAGATCGGAAATACAGATGTCCAAATGAGTTGAGTAACATTCAGAAGAAAAACTTGACAACAGTTACTAACTTATTATAGCCCAATGAATTAACTATGCAAGTAAACAACCATGTATTTCGGTATTTACCCGCAATTTGTACACAAAATTACACACACACACACATATAGAGAGAGAGGGTTCTGCAAGACCAGATATGCTACAGACTAAGGGAAAGCTGGTCAAGATGGTTCAATCAGAAGCAGCAGACAATGAATGCACTAACAAGTTCAACGACCTGGGATTGGATTTTTACAAAATGTTGCAAAGGTCCACACACTGTATACGGTTAAATTCAACATAACCGATAAAGGATTATTCAAGATCTTTTTGTCCTAGCAATGAGGCCCATTGGATCTGCACAGACACAATATGGTTGACCTCAAACAACAATAGAAAACCAACCATAGCACTTAAACTAGGAGAGATCAGTATAAAAGGTAGCCATACAAACTATGTACTACACCAGATGGGTTTGCTCAAAAGAGGGAATGAGACAAACTGGGTTAGTTAGTTTAAAATACCTTCAAGTAGAGGCACGAGCTGGTTACAGCCTTACAGGTCACATTGCTGAGTTGCCGACTGTAAGTGATTAGAAATCAGTTGAGCCAAAAGCAATCTTCATTGCATCAGTCAGCTTCGCTCTCCCTCTGTTTGTATCTTGTGAGAAAGGGAATTGTACTGAGGTCCTGAGGAGAAAAGGGCTTACACCACAACAACTGTTACAAGTGGAGGAAGATCCTCCCTGTTATGAATGTTCCATACATTTTCTCAAGCCAAACATATATTGCTGTGCATGCACTTCCTTCCCAAATCCTGCAAAACCATCAACACAAAAGTTAAGTGGGTGTCACTGGAAGAAAAACAATTTTAAATTTATAACAGTACCTGCGAATATCCACAAACCATACAAGCTTGCTTTTAAGGAAAATTCCAGGGAAATGCCCTCTCTTTGTTGCTTCACCAACAACTCTTACAGCCCTTCTTTCTGACCGAGCCACCATGGTGTTTCTAAAAGCGCATTATAAAACCACATTCCCAAGCCACACCCTTCAATTGAACTAACCATGACGAAGTTTTAATTCAATGAAAAACAATATCCAATACGATCCAAGCAATGTCAAATTTGGATTTTTATGTAAAATATATAACTATCTAGCTTTACAACAATCATAATTCTCAATCCGAACGTTGGATCAGGCTAAAATTTTACATAGAATCTCCTGACATGTTGTCCTACCTTGGGTTAAAATTGAAGATCAATCAGATTTCAGGAAGATATTGTAATACGGGTCAACAAAGGTTGTACAAATTATGTTATTTACTTCCTTTTGACTTATGACCTTTCTATTTGGTTAGAATTCTTTTTCTAAAAAGATGTAGCAGCTTATTTTGGAAATCTCTTAATTCTCTAAAGATCTTTAATGAACTGCAACATAGTTTCCATGTGTGGTAAGGATTCATAAATATTTCATAATCCTTTTCTTGCAAAAATTCCTTATTCATCCTAGCTATCAAAAAAAAAAAAACTTCAGAATAAATTTTACCTTCAAATCAGATTCCCTAGTCTATTTGGGACTTCTTAATAGTGACAAATCTAATTCTATTATATTTAAGATGGTAATTTTCGGATTTGTATTATTTTTATTACTTATTTGGATCAATTGTAAGTGGACTTCATATAAGTCCACCTAAGGAGGGTCCATTAGAGTTTATTTAAATCTAGAGTGAGTATAAATAAAGGCATAATCAGACATGTAAGTTAGACAATTCAGATTAATAAAACTTCTTGTTTGATGCATTTTGTGTATGTGTATTGGTAAGATAATCTCCCTTTCATGGTTATCTAAAGAACCAAAAAATGATTTATCGAAGAACAACTGTCTTCGTGGTGTCATCCTTATACTTCTCATTCGCGAATCAATATTCGTTGGGTGGAGGTCTTCATTTCCAATAATATTGGTGCCTAGGTACAAGTTATATTTGTGTCACACTTCTATCAAACCTGATTCACTTGGCTTTCCGGGAATTAGTGTCTTTGCATGTAGGTTGTGTGACCATGTGATCACAAGGTTTGCATCAATATCTAGCTTTAAAAGGCTATTATAACATATACACGAAAACTACAAGATGGCATCGTAAGAAAGCAGTAGTGCTACCCTTATCTTCTCACCCAATTCACACAGAAAACAAAAAAGAAATATATGTTACTACCAAGATTCTCTTCCCAGCGTATTAAGTTTGTTGAGAAAGAGAAGAGAATTTCATCTTGCATTCAAAATATCAAACTTAACATTTCAGTCAACATTAGAGTTCTTATAATTTCCTACTAAATTGTGTGAATGGATGAACATAGATGATGTTGCTCATGCTTTGCTTCAATTATGACTCAGAACAATCTTATGCCTATATTTCTTAGGTAACATAAAACAGTATCTTCAACATTGTGCTGGCCTGTGTAGGCAGAAATCAACAAAAACAGATGTTACTGTTGCTGAGCTCCCAAGCCAACACTTCATTTTGATGCAGCAACAATGACAACATAAAATCACAATTAATTTCAGAACATTTTTTCAGTTCATGTTTGAGATTTGAAGTAAATGCTATTTAAAAATAAAGAATGTTAGCCAATTCTTGATTTCCTAGTGAAAGCACCGCAAGATGTTCTGCAAAATAAAACTTTGGTAGCAAAACATACATAAATAAGAATGCTAAAATAGCATCGTACTCACAGTCAATTAGACAAGGCCTATCTGCTCATTTATGTCTAAGGCTACATGATCACTCTTATATTCTAGGAAGAACCCAACTAGATTTTGTTCTGGTTACTAACATCTACTAAATATTGACCATGATAGCTTGCAGTCTGATAACTACATCACCAATGCCGAAGTTTCCAATTTGTGTTTACAAACGACAATAAATCTAATCATGAACACAAACACACTCGTACATAGATTTCAAGTGTCTAGAGAATTAAGTGAATACTGAACTGTCACTGTTAGCATAAACAGCCAGCATCATACAATAGCACATGACATTCGGCAATATTCCCAATGCTCTAATTTCCTGAAATTGTTCCTCACTCTACCTGTAATGCAGTAAACACTTAAGACAACCTCAAATGTCTGCTCATCAGGACCTAATCTTCCCTTTTCCATCTCAACATCAGAGACAACCTCAAATGTCTGCTCATCAGGATCTAATCTTCCCTTTTCCATCTCAACATCAGCCTTAATAGCTTCTTCAAACTGACCGTCATGTCTAAATCCTTCAATCACACCATTCAAGGAATCCCTATCCCTAACAACCTCAGATTCACCCATTTTCAACAAAATAGCTTCAGCTTTCTTGTATAGCCCACCTCTAGCAAACATGTAAATCAGTGTATTGTAAGTCTCAATCGTTGGCTTGCTGCCCATTTCATTCATAGTATTAAACATCACAAGAGCTTCATCGTACATCACAGCTTGTCCATATGCTTTAATAACTCCAGTATATGCCTTCGAACTTAGCATCATCATGTAGCCCACCTTTCCCACAATCAAATATCAACCCCTCGTAAGTTCCCATATTCGGCTCCACATTCTCCTCCACCATATCATGAAACAATGTCACCATCTCCTTAAAATACCCACCCTCACCAAACACATCTATAAGTATATTATATGTAGCAACATCAGGCTCTGTGTTACTCACTTTCATCTCCAAAAATAGCTCCCTTACATTGCCACACCTCCCATTCTTCCCATACAAATCCAACATTATACTATATGTCTGTGCATTGGACACACACCATGCTTCTTGCATCTGCCGAAACACTCCTGTAGCATCCTTAATATTCCCTATTCTTGAATACGACTCTAGTAACATTATACGATGAAATCTCAGGTAAATTCCCAGTAGAAGCCATCTCCTTAAGCAATTCAGTAGTCTTGTCTAACCTATTCAATTTCCCAAATGTCTGAACAAGATAACTATAAGTTGTTATATCCGGCATTACCCCGCCTTCATTGGTTGTACTAAATACCATCGCTGCCTCATCCCCCAATCCCCTATTAGCACAAGCACTAAGCAAAGTATTATAAGTGGCAATATCTGGTTGTATTCCTTCATGCTTTATTTTTTAAGACAAACCTACCCACCTCTAGCACATGAATTAATAACAATATTATAAGCATCTGGTTGTATTCCTTCATGCTTTATTTTTGCAGACAAACCTAACAAACCCACCCACCTCTAGCACATGAATTAATAACAGTATTATAAGTCAAAATACTCGGCGAAACCCATTCCTTCTTCATTCTTTCAAGAAATTCAAGCGAGACCTCACACTTACCATTCCGGCCATATGAATTGATCAGTGCGTGGCACTCCGTGCGCACCCATTTCCTCGAAAATATCACTGCATTTTTCCAGGAGGCCTTCGCTACCTAACAAACTGATCATGATTGTATAAATGTGGTCATTTGGCTGACACCAAATTTGACGCTGCATATGCTTGAACAGCCGTAACGACCTTTTCAAATCACCGCGCTGGGCGAATTCCTTGAACGCTGAAGCGAAGTCTTTTGAAGAAAGCTTTAAGCGGAGTTAAGCGAATTGGTTTGTTAATTAGGGTTTCGAAATCGTAACAGTACTTTCCTTTCTCCACGACCACGGAAGGGTTGCGGAGGAACATTTCTTTAGGTTTAGCTCTGGCATTTGCGGTGTCGCCAGGGAAGGAGACTAGTCGGCGGTGGAAAAGAAAGTTTGGGAAAGAGTCTAGGTGTGTTTGGATTTGGTAATTTGGATAGGATGAGCTTTGGGACGTCGAGAAAGTGTGCACGCATGGTTAGAAAAACAAAAATAGCAGAGAAGAGAAAGGAAAAGGATGGTGTGGACTGTGGACAGTGAGAACTTGAGAATGGAACTTGCTAGCATTAACAGAGAAGAAAATGGAGCGGATTTTGTTAGTTGGATCTAACCCGGTTTTTATTTTATTTATTTATTTTCAAAAATGGAATGCATTCATTTTGTTGTGCTAAAAGGGTTACAATCTTGTACATTATTATGTCTTTAACTACTATGCTGTATAGGTTGATTAGTAATAATCTTTTATTTATTGATAGAAACAGTAAAAGGTGTGGGTTTTTTATTATTATTATTTCAAGAGGGATATTGTTCGCACAAAAATCAAATATCGTGGATTTACTGTTTATTTTTTAATAATTAATTCTAGTCTTTAAAAATTTAGAGTGAAATTAGAAGAAGATGAATTATAATAAAAGTAAAAGCAATATGAATGGTGTGTTAGAAATTTTATAAAAAATATACTTAGATTATCAATATTTAAAAATAACATAATTTATATAATTTATATCCTTTTAAATTTTAAAAAATCACTTTTGATACAAAAATTTATTTATATTATTTTTTAGTCTCTAGTTAAAAAAAAAAAGGGATGTCACCGAATTCCGATAATGGGAGAGAATTGTCGTTTTTGCCATTTCTAACTATTAAAATTATTTTTTTTGGTGTCTAGAGTTTTTATAAGATGAGAGAGGTTTAATAGGTGGTTATTTAAAGGTTTAATATTAGTTGAAAAAACATATATAAGTCAAGAAAATCAAAGTAGCTCGATTTGATTTCGGATTTATTGACCCTTCTTGGATGTTTTGAGTTAATAAATTGGTGTGTAGGTGCTCTAAAGGTGTTAAATTACTTAAAAATTAAGTGTTTCAGGGTGGAAAAACATTTCACTGATTTTCAGGTCACTATAATAGCGATAAAATCTAGGCTTGTAAACAACACATCATCTATCTTAACAACTGTGTGTTGTCTGTTTATTTTTTTTCAAAAACATAGAGCCGAACGATTTTTAAAAATTTTAAAAAAATAAATAAAATTAAGCTTAGGTTCAGAGGGCTGGGCTTGAAGACTTGCTTACACACTTATACGTCTAAACTCTTCATTATAGAAGCTAGGCTCTTTGGATCATGGGCTTGTGAGCCCAAACCTTTTTTTATATATATATATGAGAAAAAACAATTACTGAATTCGGTTAAATTAATTATCTAAATTATAAGTTTGACAAGTTAAGTCATAATACTTGAATTATTATTTTTTTTAATATTTTTTAAGTAATATCTTTCTTTAATATGTATTTTTTAAAATAATTTTTAAATATATTTTTTAATTAATATCCCTCCTTTATGATTTTTTTTATTTAACCTTTTTTTATATAGATTTTTTTAATGGTGTAGAGTGTATTTAATTTTTGAAAAGATTATTATGATTCTTCTATATTTTGTTTTTATTATTTTTTATAGATAAACTTTATTTTTAAAAATAAAAAATATTTATTTTCGTATAATATTTTTAATATGTGCAGTCTTGCATGATATATTTTTTTTCCTTTTATTTTATTCACTCAATTTAATGTGTATATTTATTTTATTTATCATTTAATTGAATAAAAAATAATTTTAATAAATAAACTCATTAAGCATAACAGAGAGAATATCTCATTTTGTGAGATTAAATATCTTGATTTATGCATGTTTCTTGATTTTTTTTCAATTTTAATTTTAGGTATTGTTAATTTTTTTTATTAACTCATAGTTCTTAATTTATTTAAAAAACCTACATATACAATTTTTTTTGTTAAAGAAAAAAAAATTGGTGAATAGCAGGTCAAATACCTAGAAATCTATAATCTAAAAATCTTATCATTTTGTTATCCTTGTAGATTTATCAATATTTTAATTTATAACTTGCCTAATATTATCTTTTTAATTTCAAATATATTCCAATTATACAAAAAAAAAAATCAAAAGAGATCATTGATGTATTTTGATATAAGGTGATTTGCTTTAAATTACTGCAATGAGTTGACTTTTTTACCTTTCTATACTCAAAATAATTGGGTAGCTTATAGGGGAAAAATCATTTTTTTCAAGGAATCCAAAGGTCATTTGTAACTTAATTGGGGAAAATTTAGTTAATTTATTTTTTTTGCATAGTAAAATTACACTGTTGCTTTTATAGGCAAAAGAATTTTGCATTTTGTGTTTGGGTTTTTTTGTCTTTTTTTATTTTATTTACATTGTAAAATAACAACAATACCTTTAAGCGTTCAAAAACTGTAACCTTGAAGGGAGAGGTATTTTAATCTTTTTATTATATTTTTTATAGTGAAATGACAAATTTAGTTTTAGAATAAAAAAATCTAACACGAGCTTAGGAAGGATGTTTTTGTCTTTGCAATATGGTTTTTTTTTTTTGTAATATTCAAATGTTTCTATGAGTTGTTTAATAACTTAAATTATTAATAAATCAATAAAAAAAAAAAGCTGGCGTATGTGTAGTATGTGTTCGTGCATGATCGTTTCCCGCACCGTTTTGAAGGTGCTTGGGGAACCTTTTGATAGCAAAAAATTGTTGACTGTAGTGTCGTCCAATGCATACTCTGATGGTGAAGCTAATGGGATGGCATAAGTTGTCATGTTCATGGTAGATTGACAGCAATAGAAATTTTTTTCCTCCTCCGTTTATTTTTTCTTTTAGGCCTTGATATTTATATTAAGTTTTTAAAAATTCAGTTGTATTCTCTAATTTATATTTATGTTAAATTTGATTATTAATATTTTAATTTTGTATATTTTAATACTTGTTTTTTTAATTTCATGCCTCAACATTTTATTTTATTTTGTTTTATATTTAATTTAGTTCTTATTTTTTTATTGTTATTTATAATCCTTTGCTTGATTTTTTTAATTTTTTCCTTCAATGTTTTATTTTTTTTCTATTTTGGTTTCATTTTTTTATTCTTTTCTTCATATTTGATCCATAATTATTTTATTTCAATTATTTTTTTACAATATTTAGTCATCATTGTTTTGATTTTTGATTTTTTGTGATTGAGGATTGTACTTCATTATTTTTTTATTTTTAATTTCTATATGGTAATCTCGATCTCATGACCTAGTATGTCAGTTTTAAAGATTAACCTGGATTAAGTTCAGTATTTTTTAACTTTTTTTAAAAAATTAATTTTTTATTTTATTTTTATCATTTAACATTAAATTATTAAGTGTCAAACTTCATGATTTGTTTTTTTTTTTGTAGGGTTATCCGTATCTTATATCTCAAGTCGTAGGTTAGTTGAATTAACTGAGTTGACTCAATTTTTTAATTTATTTTTTTAATTTTATTATTTGTCATTAAAATTATCTTTGTGAATTTCTTCATTTTTTTTTATACAAAGTTATTCTAGGTGCAAATTAATCATGTTAACATACGTTGACTCATTTTTTACTTGTATTCTTTGATATTTAATTATTAAAGCTTGAGTTTTGTGATTTTTTAATTTTTTTATAGTGTTATACTAATCTCATATTTTAGGTCATATGTTGATAAGTTAATCTAAATTGATTTTATTATCATTTAAGTATTTTTATTAATTTAAAAAAAATTAAACTAACCAATGCCGCAACACTTGATATCAATTTAGTATTAGCTGAACCATCTAGGTGGTAAAGACTTGGGACTAAGGGGTTTGCTCCCTCTGTGGTCTCAGGTTCGAGTCCTTGGTTGTTCATATGATGGCCACTAGAGGTTTACATGGTCGTTAACTTCAAGGCTCGTGGGATTAGTCGTGGTGCGCGCAAGCTGGCCAGACACCCACGTTAATCTAAAAAAAAAAAATTTAGTATTGGCTGTATCATTCCGTAGTTAGTCTAGATCTTGAATTAAATTGTTTTCATATGTACAATTGTATTTTTTTTAAAAAAATTAGAAAAGTAACAAGAAAAAATAATGTAAAAATGTGAGACAAAATAGAAGAAGAAGAAGGTATCTTGTTAAGAGGGAAAAATGTAAAATTGAAACTTATTGGGGGTAAAATTAAAAATCTCAAGGAATAGTGGTATTAGTGTGGAAGATAGAAAAAACGTAGTTTCATCATAAGATACAATTAGGGCTCCATCCCCATTCCCACCGGTTATCTAAGAAAAAAAGAAGAAAAGAAGGGGTTTTTGTTTTCTGTTGTATCTTAAACGGAGCTCGAGCTTAGCAATCATTAGAATAAATAAGAATAAAGGGAGGGAGAGGGAGAGGGAGAGGATGGGAATAGCAAGCAAAGCAGGGGATTGGACGTTTAAGGCGTTCACGGCAGGCCTGGGCGTGGCCACCATTTACCTCGCCGCCACTTTCTCTGTCAACGTCTACAGGGGCCTTTCTTGGCACAACGCTCAATCGGTAACTAACTCTTCAATGATTTTAACAATTTTCCCTTCATTCATTCCCATAAGAGATCCATATATTCTAGCAAGTTTTTGAGCCAAATATTTCATCTGGGTCGTGCTCATATTGTTTGTTTAGCTACGTTTGCAATTGACTGTTACCGTGCTTTTCTGATAGTACATAGACATCATTGTTGTTCTTGGGTTCATTTCCGGACACTAATG